AATATATTAATGAATAAATAAATGTATATGTGTATATGACTATACTTAATTATATTAAAATACATATGTAATAATTAGAATAATATTATATATGTGTAATAATTAAAGTATTATATGTATGTAATAATTGAAATGATATTTTACCTGAGGTTTTAGCGACCACCCAAATGCCGAGTTTGTTGGTCGATTAGGATAATTTTGCCAGGATGTCGAGCCATAAACGTCATCGAACTGCATATTAGTAGAAAGTAATGTTTGATTTGGAAAAAGTACAGACTTGTGGTTTTTGCTACACGTTTAGTCACTATTGTCTTGTATTTGTAAAATTTTTTCAAGTTTTTTTTTCTAAAGAAGCAGCCTGCCAATTTATTTAGTGGCCAACAGAAATCTTTTTAAATGATATTACTTAACGATTGTACCTGTGAATGTGTTGGTATCAGTGTTTGAGTGAAGCATGGTGACGACTGAAATGCCTTAAATTCCGGCGTCAACAGATGACGTTCACGTTTTCGCCACTTTGCTCGCCGATTTTTGAACCATACCTGAACAGTTCTAATTTGTAAATTAGGGCTAAAATTTGGCAGGATTTACTTCCCTTTTTGAAAGTTTTGACATACTTCCAATTATGAACGTTGTTTATCGCTACTAATTTCTTCTGCTATCTTGTGTTCTGCTTAAGTTTTTGTTGCGTACTTCAAACGAATTTAAAAGGAACTTTTAAGATAAACTTAGGTGGCAACGTACTTTTTTTGAAACCTTATTTATTCATACACCAAAAAATATATAACTGAGTGTTATATTAGACTTTTTTATACACTTTCTGACCACTTATGTCGTAGCGCCAGTTTGTTATTAAAGAAGAATTTCTGGACCACCACAAAAAAAGTTTCAAAAGTTTGCTTAACATTTTTTGATAAATTCAGCTAGACTATGAAGCATGTCAACATGCCGGAGTCTTACAGATAAGTACTTGTAGCTAGCCAGAAATAAGAGATTTCAGATTTACTTTTCACGTATAATTCTCTGTCTCGTTGTCGATCGTTTGGTGAGCAGATTGTTGGAGACTGTTTTAATTAATCTATACGTTTGGTACAATGATAAAAAATGCCAGACAAAATTTTACTGCTGTCAATAACTAATTTACGTTCGCCTTTCGTTTACCGTTCTATTTGAAGTTTACTGGTTCAATACCAGCAAATTTCAGTTAAGAAAAATTTTAAATGTCTATTGAATATATGAAAGTCTCGAATATCAGAAGCTGATTAATTTAGGACCATTTAATTTCGTTGCCAGAAAAAATAAACATTTTTATTTAAAAAAAGGCTGGAAGAAATGAATTATAATGAAGCAAATGCTAACAGTTGATTTTAGCACCACGCACTTGTAATGAGAAATGTTTTTGGACAATAGTCCTATCTTCTGGAATCCAGTTTAACTTGGTCAAATTTCACCTGACAATCTCAATTTAATCAACAAAGAACATTCTTTTTTCTATACTCAGTTTGCCTTTCAGGTCAAATTCGTTTGCAGTTAGGTAATCAACTGCATCTATAAATTTTAGATAAAATTTTTTGGACTTTCACTGCATCACACACAGCTGTTTTCAGGTTTCGCTATATGGCATCGAGACAATAGTGATGTCATTCCTGTGAGTCAAAACTGCCCTTAGTTTTTCACCTAATTGTTAATAAATGTTATTAAACATTTATTGTTGCTTAGATTTCTCTTCTCACTTTCGTCCAGAATAAATAAACAAACAAAATTTAAAAAGAACTTTTTGAAAGAGTTCAATAAAAGTTCACTCAGAAATTTTTTCTTTATCTTAAGTTTAAACTCTAGCAAAAGAAGTAAGTGAATTAAAATGCATTTGTACACTTTTTGCCAGTGTCACTTTGACTAAACTGTTACGCCAAATGACGCTTTCCCTCCCCCTCTTCGGAGGTTTCTTCGAGCTATAAGGTGCCGGAAATGAAGATATCAAAACAGCTAAGAACAGCAGCAACATTAAAAATAAAGAAAGAAGAAAGAAATTTCCTAATGGAAGTTGTAATTAATCAGCTAATTAGGAGGAATACAGTGGTACATATAATTAGCTGACAAATGATTACATCGCTGGGGAAAAGACTGCCGAAGAATTGACGGCAACAACGGCAACGCGGTGGCCGTAGAAGACGACGGCAAACATGAGAAAAACATCGATCGGATGTTGGGACGGCGGTGAACAGCGTTGTCCCAAACTGATGTATTTATGGGGAATGTTGGTTATGTGATTATGTAATGTCATCCATCGTCCTTCGTCTCCTCCACCACCTCCATAAGGATCACAGCTTGGGAGAACAGAATGCAAGATGACATTGTGCATTCAGCCGTATCAAAATTCTCTTTTTTTTTTTGCTTTGCTTTGCCTTTCTTTTTCCACAAACAATTACCGCATTACCGTAAACCCTTCGCTCCCATTATTTTCCATCTCTGATATCTTCAAATACAGCTCACTTTGGTTCCTCTTTTTCAGTCAGTTCTGTTTTTTTATTTTAGAACTGAGTAAACAAAAGAAGAAAAAGAATTCTGAGACTACGGAGAAAAAAACTTGAAGCTTATAAATTTTTTGATTTTTTTACTACAACTCTTTAGTAAGTCTGTTCAAAAAAAAAAAGTATTTTTTTTTTAGCTATTGAAATAATCCGTTTCAGTTAGCTTTTCCTGCTTTCGCCTTTTAGCCATGTCTGTTCATTTTTTTTCGCTTTTTTGATCACATTATCTACAATTAGAATCATCAAAAGCATTGAGCTTGAACTTCTTCTTTTGGGTTTTATCATCTTCTAAAAATTTGTAGACGTCTGGTAAGAAATGAAAAAATAAAAAAATAAATGAGGAAAATTTTCGTTTAAACTACTGAAAAAGAAAAGCGCCAAAGCTAATTGTAGAACATGCAAAAAATATATATATTTAACGATCCGGCTTGAAGTTTAGAGTGGAAAAAAATATTTAAGGTGGTTTCAATAGAAATTTGATGCTTACAGATCAGTGTGAAGCTCAAGCAGCTACCTCATAAGAAGGTGCACTATTATACAGTCATATTGGAATTGTTTAACTGAAATTGTTAACACATCTAAAAATGAGCA